TGGAACCCCACCTACAGCACTGACAAGTTCCTGTCTTGAAAGTCAGGGGAACCTGGGCTAGACCTCATCTGATTGGTCTTGTGCTCTCCAATCAGTCAACACAAGACAACGAGCTAAGTGGAATGAAGCCGATCAGCTCCTAAAGGTTACTGCTGATGGGGCCGGTACAACATGTGACATAAACCTCCCTCCACGTCCTTCTGCTAGCTCATGGCTCCCCAGCACCCTTCCCTGCTGCCGTCTGCTCTGAGTCAGTCACCTCTCTCTGTTGCTTAAGCACGCACCAAACTGCAAGCAGAGGGAGATACTCTTTGCACTGAAAGGTAGGTACCACTCTTATCCAGAATGGACTCTGGAGCGTCTGGAAGCCTCATGGGTTCCCTGGTCCAGCTTCCTTGCTAGACAAGAGTTCCTTCTGCCTCCTTCCTGATGGGGATGCCCACAGTGATGGTAGCACAGCATACCAGGACGGACCTGCTTTGGTGGGGTTGGGAAGGGAGAAAGGAGGTAGGAAACAAGAGGAAGCGATAGTGTGGGATCTCATCAAATGTCAGACAGGATTCTTCAGTAGCACAACCAATAATGTTCAGTGTTGCACCATGACCTTAGCTCAGGGCTCTGCTGGCCCTCACCTGAAGCCTGTCCAGTGGTGGAAAGGACCAGAACACAAATATTATTCGAGGATTTCTGTCCCAGAAGTAATTCTATTACTTAAAAAGCAGATACAGAAAAAGCTATTGAGTAGTTCACAGATCTGGGCCTACAAAGTAACTATCATGTTTACCATGAGCCTCAATGCTAACAGTGAGAGTCCTTATGTGGTGCTGTAGAATAGCACTGGATTGCAAAGTCAGTTTGAACTGAAAGATTGGCAGCTCAAACTCACCAGTCGCTCCTCAGAAATTCTATACAGGGTTGCTGAGTTGGAACCTACTTGAAGACACTTAACAGACCCATTCACTTAACCTGTATGATTTTGAGATCCCTAGCCACCACCTCGTTCTGAAAGCAGGACATCATTTTTGCCAACTTTTATATCCATATCTTTGTTGGTTAGTCACCAGATCCTCTTGAGTCTTTGGAAAACATCTGATTTATTCTCCATCTCTACCACCCAGGGCAACACAGGCAAAGCAAAGGCTGCTAGGGGTCACAAGCAGGAGCTGTGACAGACTCAGGAAAACCAGGTTAAAAATAAATGGGTGGCCTGGAATAGAGGCCTCTAGGACCATCAAGGGAGAAGAGCATAAACGGAATGTGGGATCCTACCCAGAGAAGCCGCCACACCAGAGATGGAGACAGAGATGAGGACATGGAGAGATAAAGCAGCTGAGGACTCTAGGCTCATGGAAAGAGAAAGGCTGTGTGTTTGCGGCCAGGAGGTAGGCTTGAAGAATGTGCCCTTTGGTTGTTTCAATGATCCTGAGTGTTTTCGTGGACATCAAAAAAGAAACACAAAAAAACAACAAAGAAATGAAATATGATACGATGAGTGTAAAATCGTTTTCCAATGTAAACTATTACTCAATTCACAGTTAAAAACACTGCAGCCACTCCTGTGCGCAGTATCTGGCAGCACATAGTAGGTACTCAGCAATACTAGCTGAATGCTCAGATCTCTACTGATTGGCTCCTAGGACAACCCATAACACAGAGCCCTGGGTTAGTTAGTGATAGCATTGCCAGAGAAATGAAATAAAGAAAAGGCAATGAAGAACATCTGAAATGGGGGCATCTCAGATGTTTGTTTAAGTTGCTAAGAGACAGCCAGACAGAGACACTGAGAGATGCCTGGGACTCAGGAGATGGCCACACTCGGAGACAGAGGTTTGAGCAGCATCTTCATCCAGGTAATGTCACAGGTGTAGACATGAGTGATGAGTGAGGAGAAAGCTGAAGGTGAAACTCTCAAGAAGTTCCTGTGAAACCAAAGAAACTCCCAAGAATAGGATTAGGCAGAAGGCTGAGCAGAAACTTGTGGGAGAGGGGTGTGTGAACCCAGGAAATGGTGTCAGAAAGGAGGGCGGTCAGGAGCGTCACTGCTGCAAGATTGCACAAGGGTGACCCAGCACAATGTGGGAAGGATGTCCTGGTATTTAGTAACTGTGTTTTGGACCAGATTCTGTTTGTTCCATGGAATAAAAACTGACCAAAAGTAGTTCAAGGCAGAGTATAGGGGTGTGGGGAGCACAGAGGAGCAGCTAGGGAAGTTAGGATGGGCCCTGCAAGCAAGCACTGGGCAGGGCTAGTTCTTGTGCTCCCTCTCTAGTGCTCAGCACCTAGACTCAGGGGGCCTTTCCTCTTTTGAGGAGCCTCTCCCTCCAATCTCTACCCCCTTCCACAGAAGGACGTAAGCTGTTAGAGGCTCTTCCCAGGCATCCTAGGCAAGAGTGATCAGCAGTGGATCCCTCCATGCTCCCAAAGGAGGTGGACGATTGTATGTGACTGCAGCCAGCTTCTCCTTGGCTGGGGGCACGAGTGGCAACATCTAGTAGTGACAACTGGGAAGAGGGGTCAGGTGTTCCTCTCCACACTTTCTCACCTGAGGACTGCAGAAACAGCTACAAACCTATGGGTTGCAATGATACTGGAAGCTATTCCACCAGTATTTCATATACCAGCAGAATCATGGTAGACAAGTTTTAGCAGGGCTTCCAGAATAAGACAGACTAGGAAGAAAGACTTGGCAATCTACTTCCGACAATTAGCCAGTGGCAATCCTAAGAATCACAACACAATATTGCCGAACTCACTTGGTTTGGACATTTCATCAGGCAGGATCAGTTGCTGAGGACATGTTTGTAGGGCATAACACAGGATGGGTCTGATCCTATGCCAGTTTCCAGTTGTTCTTGGTTGTGTGCTGTGGAGTTGGTTCCGACTCACAGCGACCCTGCATAGGATCACTAAATATGGAGCAGACTGCCTCATCGTTCTCCCGAGGAATGGCTGGATGTTTCGAACTGCTGACTTTGAGATTAGCAGCCTGACTCATAATCATTACGCTACCAGCAGGACAGAAGTTTCCCTTTCTGCCAGTAGATTTTCCTCAGAAAAATTGGGAGAGAAAGTCACATACAGATAGTCACAAGTCAATTCTGAGTCATGGCGACCTATGTACAATAGAACAAAATGTTGCCTGGTCTTGTACCATCCTCATGATTGCTGGTGTGTTCGAGTCCATTATTGCAACTACTGTGCCGGTCCAGATCATCCTCGCTGGCCCTCTCCTCCAACGAACATGCTGTCCTCCTCAGTAACTGATCCTGTCTGATACGTTCAAACCAAGTAAGTCAGGCAATACTGTGTTGTGGTTCATAGGAGTTCCACTGGCCAACTGTCAAAAGCAGAATGCCAGGTCTTTCTTCCTAGTCTGTCTTATTCTGGAGCCCTGCTAAAACTTGTCTGCCATGAGCCTGCTGGGATATGAAATGCTGGTGGAATAGCTTCCAGCATCACTGTAACACACAAGCTATCACAGTATGACAAACTGACAACTGGTGCAAATACTTACATATAGGCACGTTTCTTGCAATTTCCTATTAGGTTGTAAAACTATTAATAATTGAATAACAAGAAAACCGGTTATCTGATTGATGTAGGTATTTATAACATAACAAGAATTCTGAGGCAAAATCCAATGCAAAACAAGTTCCTAGAGATTCTATATTAGTTGATTTTAGAAATGACATAATCCAAACCTAACTGGACAGTAAATTGTCTTAGATAACCTTTAAGGAATTTTTCACTCCTGTTATTTGGTTCTGGAAAATCTTTACAGGTCACAAACATTTGTTACAGTAGAAAAATAATTTAAGTATAGTTGTTAGGCACAGGTTAAAAGGGATATAATATGCACAAACTACAACAACTAGAAATCAACACGGCTTTTGAACACATATTTGAACTTGAACCATTTAAACAACCAGTGTTTTACATAAATTTAAAACATACTTCAAACTGTTTGCATGTATACTCTACTTTCTAATGCACTGAGGAAAAAATTTCTTTTTGATTTCTTCAACAGTAAAATTCTGTCCCAAACCAGGAAATACCTTTTCCTCTTGAGAAGCCAGTTGAAGAGCTTTTGTGTCTGGTAAAGATTCTACCAGGGAAATCATCTGCAGGAAGAGAAGCTCTGTACTGAGGCTAGGTTGCTTAGCTCTGCTGTAGACCAAGAGACCCCTGGGGGCTGAGCTGTGTGCCGTTGGTCCCTGGGAAGTCCAGACACCATGCACATTGGTGAATTTGAGGGGCTTCAACCAAGGCCAGAACTAATGAACAGGCTTCACAGGAAGAGAGGGGTTGAGAGGTGTAACCAAAATCCTGATGTGTTCTGAACCACTTAAGTGGATGATCTGTCTGGAATTCTGAGAACACGCAAGGACTTTCCTGGGTGGCATTTGCCCATGAAAACAAACTAATCCCCTCATTAAATTACTCAAAAACAATCACTGGTTTCAAGCTACCAACAGTTACAAAATTTTAATAGGCATGAAAAATTATGAGTTTAACTTGAAATTCTTTGTCAGAAGGAGCTGTTCGAATAAATTGGTATCAGATTGCATATGACAATGCCAATACCTTATGTTTATCCAGTTTCTTCTTTCCCCATTTTTCTTTTTCTAGGATAAAATTAGTAACTTATCAATCATCTGTGTTGGCCATCAACTGACCATTACTGGCTGCAAAACACTGTGTGTATGTATAAAACGAGATGTAGCTAAGAAGCTGCAATGTGAATTCTATGTTACATGTGGAAATGAGTTCCATTACTTCAGATTTATACTGACTATGAGGCCTGTTAATACTCACACACACACTTGTTCAGCCCCTAATCAACAGTCATTCATATAAAAAATATATTTTACTCACGCAGAATGCTTCATTTACATATCACTAAAAACATATTCTTTCAATCTAACATCTCTTTACCAGGCTTGTCAATTAGCTAAGAAACATCATGACATCAAGAGAGAAAACCTTTTTTAAAATAGGATTCCTAGTAGAAATACATTTCTTTAAAAAGGTCTACATTTAAAGCAGCAATTAGAAATGTTGTTCTTATAAGTATAATAATACTGTTATATCAAATTGTGGATTTAAATAAGTTTAACTTAATAGTTCTTTTTTTTTATCTCTTTAAAAAAGAATACAGATTTCTTTGTTACTTAGAGGCTTCTCCATTCTTCCAATTCCAAGGAATACAAAGGTCTCCATCTTGCATAACAGAGTAAAAATGTGAAACGCAGACATGCATCCCATGGAGGTAAGGCAGGGACTGTTCTAGCAATCTCCTACAACAATCCACCATTTGTTTACTAGAAACGCTGGGCTCCTTGTACAACTTCTCCAGAGAAAACTTCCTTGTTGAAGCCTGTATCAGTTCATTTTCAATAACTTTTAACCTGTTTTATTAAAAATAAAAATAATATTGCCATAAACAATAACATAATTAAAGAACATGAAAAGAGAAAAAAGACAAAGAAGTCACTGAAAACCTTATGGAACAAAGTTCCATAACTGACACATCTGAGGCTGCCATAAATCAGAACTGATTCAACAACAACTAGTTCAGGTTTGGAGGCATCAACATAGTTACTGTAAGGGAACAGAAAAAAATGCTTCAAAGCAGTCTACCAGGTACACTTCAAGCAGGTTCTGGTACACCAGGTTCACTACACAGACTCTGAAGTCTAGGATGCTACAGACACCGGAAGTACCCAGAGGGAGCACTGCAGTCCTCAAGCTCTTCCTGTAGGATTATACAATGCCTTTAGCTTATCTGTCTTAAACATCCTTGTATCCCAAGGCTAACTTGCAGTATAAAAGCAGAGAAATATCATTCATTCTCTACTTTAAGGCCTTTGTTATCCATTTTCTCAAAAAGGTTTGTATTATATATTATGCATGTATTTGTAGTACGGAAAGTTTCAGATGCATACAGAGTAGAGACTAGCCGACTGAATATCCATGGGTCCATTACCAAGCTGTAACTGCTGTCAATTCACAACCACCTTTATCTGCAACTCCATCCACCTCCTCTTATTTAAAGAAATTCAGTTATATGTGTGGCACTGCAGAATAAACACTGGACTGCAAAGTCAGTTTAAACCGCAAGGTTGGTGGTTCAAACTCACCAGCTGCTCCTCAGAAACCCTCTACAGGGACACTATGAATTGAAACTGACTCGATAGCACTTAAAAGCAACTTTAGTATTTTGAAGCCCAGTGGCTCTAGAGCAGGATGGGGAATGTTTTTTTCTGCCAAAATTTGTAACATTATTTGCAGGCCATACAAAATGATAAACTTAAAAATTAGCCTGCTATGAGCTGGAACCGACTCCATGACACATAACAACAACAGTCTAATGGCCAGAACTGTGGTTGCTTAGCAAGGCCAGACCAAATTATTTCGAGAGCCTTACATAGCTTTCTGGCTGGATGTTCCCCTCCCTTGCCCTAGACTGTGAACCATAAGTGGGCAGTTTGAACCTACCAGCCGCTTCAACGAGAAAGAGGAGGCTTTAAAACTTTGAAAACGCTATACAGGGGTCACTACGTCTCGGAACTGACTTGACAGCACTTAACAACAAAAGTAAGTATTTTTAGTCTATCTCTAAAATGATTCTTGGTTTCTCAAAAAGCTCTAAAAAATATCCTAAAGCAGGCCTCTGCAATACACAGACTATAGGTAGAAGCCTGAACCACATCCAGATCTCCAGAGATGGGAAATTTCCACTTGAAAGGACTACCAGACCAGCCTGGAGCGGCTAGAAGAACAGAAGATACTTCTTGAAAGAAAGACCTACAGGAAAAATACAAAACAATAGAGGCAGACAGACTGTTACTACAAGAACAAACAAGTTGCTTGCCCAGGAAACATCAAGGCAAGTGGTCGGGTCCCCTCAGTGCAAACCCCCTTCCAAGAATAAGACTCAATGGGAATACACGCTCTGATTGGTGACCACGCTCGTCACCGATAAGGGGAAGTGAGGGAAAAACAGCAGTGAAGCAGCAAGCTAAGCCCTATAATGTGGAGAGTGAATCGTTCAGGTGATAAAAAGAGAAGGCATATGCACAAGAACACCCACACTTGCAGATAATCCCCACTTGACCTGACTTCAATGACTGGATTATCAGAGCTCAACCAGAAGAAGAAAGAAGAGGAAAAAAAAGAGTAATCTGATACAATTTGATGAACTTGACCTACACCTATGGATGCAGTAGCTCAAAAGAGGGAGCATATGTTTACAGCAAGAATCATTCCCACCCCTTCCACACACAGAGTAGACAGGGATGGGCAACTTGGACATTGGCTACCCAAAATGAGGGGGCGGCTACAAAGGCAAGAAGTGACTGACTTACAAGCTTTCAAAAGGGAACCTAGAGCCAGGGGTCCTTGAGGAAGGCAGAATCTCCAGTGAGTAGTATCCAATCTGTCTAGGTGGAGCTGATGAAATGAAATGCAGATGGGTCTCTTGTGACACAATAGTGAATAATTGTTATCAGGACTGATTGTGAGGGTTGGAAATGTAAAGGTAGACATTTTATAGCAAGGAAGGGCGTGATTAACTCTCCATTCTAGGAGCGGAGGTCCATAGGACCATCAATGGAGAAGAGCCAAGAGAGGGACCCTACCCAGAGAAGCAGCGATGCCTGAGATGGCGGCAGAGACAATGACGTGGAGCGATGGAGCAGCTGGGGACTTTAGATCCAGAGAGAGAGAGTGACTGTGTGCTGGGGGGGTGGGGGTGGTAGGGAAGAGTGTAGGGGGCAGGCTTGCAGGGTATAACCTTTGGTTGGTTGATGATGCATGGAGGGGATTGTAACCATGGCAGTGAAATGATATACGATAGAATGAATGTAAAACTAATGTTCTCCCATGTAAACTATCATATAATTCACAATAAAACATTGAAAAAAAATATCCTAAACCTATGAAATGGCCATAGAGAAAATACAAAAGAGCAGCAACTATAGTGTAGCAAATAAAATCATCAGTCCTGATAGTGAAAGAGGGCCTAGAACGGCTCTCAAGGGTTAAACCAGACTTAATTTAGACAAGGAATATCAGAAACACCAATTCTTAAAAGCTAACCAAAGAGCAGGAAATCTGTGCAATAGAATATAGTCAATTCCACAAGCAAAACCCAGAACTGTACTCCTTCACTTATTTTACACAGAGATGATCTCATTATCATCACTTGTTACAGGGATGGCCTCCATGGTTTTCCTTATTTGCCACCCTTCATCTCACTTTATTCTTTTTATATCACTGCGCTTTACAATTTGTGAAGACCGAGGACAAATCCACAGGAGTCATAGGATTGCTTCTATGAGTGTACTGTTGACCAAGTCATCATGTGGTATATCAAATACCACATCCCTGCCCTCCTGAGTCTCCTCCTCCCAGAAATGCTTCTCCAGTGACATCTAGGGGTTGTTCTCTTCAGCTCCTTCCCACTCCCAGACAAACTCAATTTGACTCTGTGGGCTCAGCCACCACTGACACCCTTAGAGCACTCCAGTCTCCCAGGAGAAACAAATTGCAGAAGAGCAGGGATCAGGTCTTCATGTTCCTACTACTGGCACCTACGACCACCACAACACATGGCGGCAAACTGAGTGAATGAGTGAATCAACTCATGGCTACAAAACCTCCGCCAGCAACATCTTCAAAAAAAACAACAACCCACTTTTGAACATAAAATCCTCCTTTCTTCATAACAGATACATAAAACAGAGCACTGAGCAGTACATAGAAACAGGAAACTGCTCTAATATGATTCCTTCCAAGATACAAAGAGGACTGCTTTTGAAAAAAAAAAAAAATTAGTTTTTACTTTAAATTCCTTTTCAATTAAGTTAAAGTGGAGATGAGGCTTTCTTTGTATCGTCATTTTTCAGATTTTTAAGCAATAAGGATTCTTAGCAACCAAGTAGTAATTGCTTTCTGCCCCCTACTTGTAAACACTCTTCTCCATGTGGAGAATTTCTTTCTGCTGCTCCAGAGCTGAATGTTCTATTATAAGGCCCTCCTCAAACTGAGGCACATGATGGTAAAGTGATTAAGGCTCTCATCCTTACAAAACAGCCTCATCAAGTCCCTTCCAGAACAAGGCAGGTAATAAAGACATATGGGATATACACAAAGAAGTCAAATTTCTAAATTTAGTGCACTATGCATATCCAATATTTATCAGCTCTGAAGAATTGATTTGTTAGGGGTTAGACGGAATGACGTAAGACAGGACTAAAGTACTTACTCTTCCTTTCTTTTCATGTTCTCTCTTGCTTGCTGGGCTTTGGCGAGAATAAACCATTGGAAGCTTGCTAGATCACAGAGGATTGGGATGTTAAAATGTCCAAGTTCATGCAAGCTTGGCGCATATCTGTCACTGCAATTAAGCATACATTACACATTAAAGGAAAGTTATTCATCCTTTTCACCAAGAAAATGTTTTATTAGTCAAAAAATCTACCTTAGGCATATAGAAAAATTGACTTATATCTTTGCTGACCCCAAAATGACACAGGTGGTTCGAATGACCACATACTTCCTGGCTTTGACCTTCTTCACCTGCAAGACGGGGGCAATACCTACTTTATGTGACATTGTGAGACTTAAATAGTATTAAGAATATTAATATTTATGTACTAAGTATATATCATGTACATTGTTCTTGTTAAATGCTGTCAAGTCGGTTCCAACTCATAGTGATCCTGAAATAGCGTTTCTGAGGAGAGGCTGGTGGGTTTGAACCATTGATCTTGCATTTAGTGGCCCAGTGCTGATCCTACAGAGCTACACCTGGCCTCCATGTACCACACAAAGTACTGTCATATCAATATTTAAGCACAGTGGTTGGCAAATAGTATATGCACAAAAAATGCTGGCCAATAATTTAACAATAGTGTCATGCTATCAGGTTTTCCACAGGCTTGACTTTGCCCAGGACATGGGACTATAACCACAGAATGTTCTAGCAATCTATCCTTTGATGCGTTCATGGCTTTTCTAATGTAGAACTGAGTCCTGTTAACCAAAGTAGTAATATTCTTTTTCTTAACTTGTAAGAATCATACACTGCTATACAAAAATATGTATATTTCGATACACATCCACCCAAGTGAAAAAGTAAAGGTAGTTCTCGGGTTTCAGATATTTACCTGTTAAGGATCATTTGTAAACCACGCAGGCTTCGAGGATGAAAAGGCATTCTATTTTTTAATAGCCTATTATAGAAGACATCAAGAAGAGAATAATATTCCTCAAGTGTCAATACTGGCTGTAATTCTTCAATATAAACAACTTGGATGCCACCTAGAAGATAGCTTATTTGGTCTTCTAAAAGCATCAGCCGCCTTTGGAGGTCAAAATAACTTGGCAATCTTTCAAAAAGCTACAATATAAAAAGAAGAGAAGTATACTGTTTTATGTAACTATGATCACTAAATTTTAGGACTTCAATCAATGGTATTGAAAAACTTTAACAAGAAAATTATTGTCTTAAGAGGAAAGTTCAAGAAAAGATAAGAGAAAGGCAATATAATGTTGAAAATATTAATATTCAAATAAAACACTGAAAATCTTAAAGACTTTTAAATAAGAACTGAACAATTTCCTGAAAAAAAAAAAAAGTTCCAAATAAAAATGATTCCTAAATACAAATATTTAAATATTTAGGTAAGAATCTTAAATAAATTTAGACTGATTAAATGGTTAAGATGAAGAAAGATTTTAGAAATAAAGTATATGAATTTCAACTCCCAAGTTTTTTCCTTCAGAAGTTACTTTATTGTAACTTACAAATCTCAATTAAATGTAATTAACATTACTGAGCACACATCATGTGCTTATGAAATAAACTGAGCAGCTGGAGGACACAAATGGTAGGAGTTTGTTGCTGTTTTACAAGGGCTCATAGTTAAGGATATAAGGAGGTTCAAGCAAAGGTTTCTAAGAAAGTCTAACTTAATCACCAGATAACTGAGTTTAGCACAGGTAGACGAATATGGGACATTGTGAGTATATGTGCAAACAAAGAAGCATGCAAAAAATCAGTATGTTCCAAAACAACAGGGAGTTGGCAAGAGCTGCAGTATGCCATGTCTGACCTGTGGAAAGAGAAGAGATGAAAGAGGCATGGAGACAGGAGCTAGATCAGGTAAGGGCCTGTGTGTTACACTAAAGAATTTAGAGGACTTAGAACTTTAAGAGGATTTAAAAGGCATCACAAACTGCTATCAGAATCACTACCCACTGCCGGTGAGTTGATTCTAACTCATACTGACGCTATAGAACAGAGCAGAAGCGCTCAGTGAGGTTTCTGAGACTGCAAACCTTTACAGCAGATGGTGGGTTCAAATGGCTGAATTTGTGGTTAGCAATCCAACAGTTAAGGAGCTCTGGTAGCGTAGTGGTTATGAATCAGGCTGGGAACTACAAGGTCAGCAGTTCAAAACTACCAGCTGTTCTGTGGGATTAAGATGAGGCTTTCTGCTCCCATAGATTTACAGCCTTGAAAACCCTGTACAGGGTCGCTATGAGTCAGAACCGACTCCACGGCACATGACCACCACCACCGATCCAACACTTAACCCGTTGCACCACTGAGCTCTAATAAAAATGTTTTATTATTTATAATTCTAACACTGTGAAAAATAATTTTACTCCCCAAGGGGGGGGGAGTAGTTAATCTTACATTCCATGAACAGAGGACCCTAGGACCATCAAGTAAGAAGAACATGAGCTGAACATAACCACAGAAGCGGCGACACTAGAAATGGAGGAAGAAGTGAAGGTATGGAGAGACTGAGCAGCTGACGACTCTAGACTCATGGAAAAAGAAAGGCTGTGTGTTGGCGGCCAGGAAACTGGCTTCCAGAATGTGTCCCCTGGTTGTTTAAATGATTATATATCCAGAAAAAAGAAATAAGAAAATTATACAATAGCAGCCTTATGTAACTAAAACAAAAGGTTTAAAGTTGGTTGAATAGATTTTTATAATGCATGTGAAGGTGACTTTAACTTTTTCTTTTGCTATTTGAAAGCTTCCGATTTCTCTTTAAAATCTGTTCTTTTAGCATTGTTATTAATAAAAAAAATGCTATTAGAAAAGACAAAATATTTTTTTTGCTCTCTAAATTAAAAAAAAATTTATTCATATATATGTGGCATTGGCATTTAAAAACTTTTATTTTAAAATAAAGAAGCAGAAAACATGGCCTACAGCAAGACGAATCAATGAATCCAACTCAGAACTGTCACAATATAAGAATTAGAAGAAATGACTGTAAAAACAATTATAACTTCATTTCACATGCTCAAAAAGTTAAGCAGAGAGGTATGTAGTTGTTGTCGTTAGGTGCATGGAGTGGATTCCAACTCATAGCAAGTCTATGCATAACAAACTCTCCACGTTACTACATGATGTCCTTCTCCAGGGACTTGCCTGTTCAAAGTAGGAGAGATGAAGTCTGGCCATTCTCACTTCTATGGAGCATTCTGGCTGTACTTCTTCCAACACAGAGTTATTTGTTCTTCTAGCAGCTCATGGTACTTTTAATATTCTCTTCCTACATTATCACTCAAATGCACCAATCCTTCTATGGTCTTCATTATTCATTGTCCAACTTTCACATGCATATGAGGGTATTGAAAATACTCTGACTGGGGTCAAGAGCACCTTAGTCCTCAAACTGACATCTTTGTTCTTTTAACACTTTAAAGGGGTCTTTCACAGCAGATTTACCTAATACGTTGATTTTTTTGATGGCTAATTCCATGAGTGGATTGTGGATCCAAACAAAATGAAGTTTTTGATAACTTCAATCTTCTCTTCCTTTATCATGATGTTATTTATTAGTCTAGTTGTGAGAATTTTTTTCTTTACATTGGGGTGCAATCTGTATTGAAGACTGTAGTCTTTGATCTTCATCAGTAAGTACTTTAAGACCTCTTTGCTTACAGCTAGCCAGGTGTGTCAATCTGTATATCATTGGTTGTTTTGGCTCATGATACTGAGTTTCTCTATCATCCCTTACCACAGATGTAGTCAAATTGATTCCTGTAAATTCCATGTGGTGAGGTTCAAGTGTCTAGTCACTGTTTATGTTGTTGAAAAAGATACCTGCAATTAAAAAGTCATTGGTCTTGCAAAATTGTACCATGTGATCGCGAGCATCATTTCTATTACTATGACCATATTTTCCAACTATGAATTCTTCCCATTTCCAACTTTCACATTCCAATAACTAGTAATTTTTAATGCAACCTGATTGTATGTTTAATCAATTTCAGACTAAACAAACTGGTACAATGCTTCATCATTTTTGGCTTTAATGATTGCTGTGTAAATTTGAATAATAATGGCATTAACTGGTCTTCCCTGTAGGCATATGAATATTGTCATATCACTGACAACATTGTACTTCAAGATAGATATTGAAATGCTCTTTTTGATGATGAATGTGATGCCATACCTTTTCAATTTGTCATTCCTGGCATAATAAACCATTGCTTATCTGATTCAAAATGGCCAATAACAGTCTATTCAGCTCATTAATGCCTAGAATATTTATCTTCTATGCATTCCATTTCACTTTTAATTTTCCTAGATTGATACTCTATACATTCCATGTTCTGATTATTAATGGATGTCTGCGGTCATTTTGAATTGTGCCACATCGACATGTGAAAGTTCTGAAAGCTTTGTTCCGTTCACATGACTACTGTCAACTCTATTTTGAGGAGACAGCTCTTCTCCAGTCATACCTGGAGAACTCATTGGACCTGAGGGGCTCTTCTTCCGTTGCCAGTGTTCTGCTGCTGTTCATAAGGCTCTCAATGGCTAACTAACTCTTCAGAGGTGGTCAGCCTCTCTTGTTAGTCTGTAATCACCACTGAAACCTGTCCACCATGGGTGGCCTACTGGTGTTTAAAAGACTGGTTGAAATGGTTTCAGCATCACAGCAACACACGAGTCACCACAGTACGACAAACTGACAGACAAGTGGTGGAAGTAGAGGTATAGATGATGTAAAAAAAATCCAAATTGTACAGAGTTTCTGTCAGAGGTGATGAAGAAGTTTTGAAAATAGATAGTGATGATAAATGCCAGGTATTATGAATGTAACTAATGCCACTGAACTGCACACTTTAAAATGGCAAATTTTATTTTATATATACTTAACTACACTGATATTTTAAAAAGACCCAAATTGAATTTCTAGATATTAAAATTACAATGTCTGAGATGAAATAAAAACCCCAAAACACTGAAAGTATTAACAGATTAAATAGAGCAGAAGAGAAGATTAATGAGCTTTAAAGGACATAATAAAATCAATCTTAAATAAAACACACAGGGACAAAGAAATTCAAAAGTTGACAAGATTTTTAAGAATCTGTGAGAAAACGTCAAACAGCCTAACAGACATGTATTTAAAGTCCCCAAACAGGAGGAAAGGAGGTTATATGTAAAAATTCTAAATAAAATTTTATGAATTTATGCACGAATTTCACTATATATTTTAAAATAATACACTGGGACTAAGGGGGATTTATTTCAAGACTCCAAGGTTGGTTTCACATTTGTAAATCAATGAAATTCACCATATTAACAAGCTAAAAAGAAAATCATATTACCATTATAGATATAGAAAGAGTATCTGACACAATCTAATACCCTTTACTTATAAAGGGAAAAGGGAACACTTTAACTTGAAAAAGGATATCTACAAAAAATCCACTGTGCTAACATTATACTTGTTGGTGAAACTCTGAATGCTTTCTCCTACGGTCTAGAATGAGATAAGATATCAGATCTCACACCACTTCTTTCCAGCACTATAGCAGAAATTCTAGCCAGTGCAAGCCACCAGGCAAAATAACTAAATCAAGAATTGGCATCTTAACTATAACATCTTAATTTTAACAATACTGAGTGGTGACCCATAAACCAAGTATATCTCTCCAGTTATTTAGGTCTTCTTTACTTTCTCTCAGCAATGTCTCTAGGAATTTAGATTGGGAGGGAAGAGATAGAAGTGTCTTTATTTGCATGGTACTGGCATAACAATGGGCAAACAGATCAATGAAAAGTAAAGAGAGTCTTTGAAACAAGTCCTCCTGCATGTGGACAACTGCTATTTGACAAAGATAAAAGGAAATGCAGTGGAGAAAGGATAGGCTTTTCAATGAACGATGTCAGAAGAATTAGATATGAGATAACTGTATGATAAGCTCTGGAACGTAAGGTCAGTTTGAACCTCAAGATCAGCAGTTCAAACCCACCAGCCACTCCTCAGAAACCCTATACAGGGTCGCTATGAGTCAGAACTGACTTGACGATACTTAACAACAAACAACAACAAAAACAAAACACTTGGACCCATTATC